TTTTTCCAAGTTGACATCCACGTAGGGGTTTTTAGACACATTCTTGTTACTAATCAAGGGTGGTCTACCCTCCAAATAACAAAACTTTGGATCAGTCCTCGAACCCACATAGTTAACCTCATAAAACGCACGCTTAATGTAGTAGGAGTGCTGAGTTTCCTTCTTACTGCCAAACCCACCAGACCAATGAGCCGATAATTGCCAATCACTGGCGGGTGTCTTGGTAGAATCAATACACACCAAACACCTTAAATGCTTAGAGGCAGGCATATACTTGCCTTCACTCAGCGGACCTTCTCTATCGCACTTATTAGTAGCCAACTTACTCCCTTGAGAGTTCCATGTTTCATAGGCCAGCTCATAAGTCCACCTAGCCCCTTCAACCATAGCCTGGGTAATACCCAGGAACGACAGACCATAGATTTTCAGCATGTACTCCTTGTAAGTGTGCTCCTCAGTGTCACAGTGATTCACCCATTCCTCGCCATCACTCTCTTGACCAATCCACGTGGTGGCTAACTGTGAACCATCTTTCTTAACCTTGACCCACGGAGCACATAACCAACATTGTCGGAAGCACACACCTCTACACCCACCAAGGAAGGCCTCAATACCTTCAGACATAGTGAGTTTCCAGCACATACATATGGCCATGATGCACCCAACCACTGCAGGTTCCACCAAGGGGGAGCTGACCTCATGGTTAACACCGTCTTGGCCAACCGAAATTGAACTGGTGGTGCCATCAAGACCCTTGCGACGAAGCTGTTGTACGCAGGCCGGGAGATAGGTCTCGCTTTCCACTTTGAACTTGTCGTTAATGGCTTGAGCGTTGCATTGGTTATCGTTGACCTCATTCATAAAGTCACAACCAAACAGAGTCTTAATCTTCTCCTTACCACCCACCGTGTCCTCAAAGTAGTAGCTGTAGTGCTCATGCAGAGTAACCCACCCACCATTAATGGCTTCAATAATAGTGGCCTCGAATAGCTTAATAATACTCTCCTTAGACCTTCTAGGGTTGAGGCTAGTAGGATTACCCTTCTTGGCCTGCCAATTACTCTCTTTGTCGGTCATCTTAGACAACATAGGAGGAAGGGGGAACAAACCAACGGACTCTACAGCATTCAAGTCGCAAATAGTTGGGGTAGCATAAAAGGTCTCAGCTTCACCTTCATTTGGGCAATGAACGTGTGCTTTACCTATCTGCACGCATGCACAAAACCGTGACGGCGAGCGCTGTCTTTTTTGTGCTGAGACTCTCTCATCTGCGCTTGTTGTACCAAGCCACTTCTTCAGCGTCAATGTCGATCTTCTAGTCAATAGCCCTGTGTTGTGTTTAACATTGAGTGCTACCCACTCCTTGTCTCGAGATTGTGGACAAAAGGACCGCATACGCAGTAAAGGCTTGAACCGACTGCTGTCACCCTCCGCGCCATTGGGATTACATAAAGGGAAACCACATACAGAGCCCTTTATTTCATCCCAATATAGTAGA